GTATTTCCACAGACCAGTATGTGTGTGGGGGGGGAGGGATAGTTTCAAGATGAAAGCTGAAACCTAATGCACAAGTGCATTGTATTTATTGTACACTTTATTTCTATTATTATTACATTGTAATATTATTACATTGTAATATGTAATGGAATAATTATACATCTCACCATTATGTAGAATCAGTGGGAGCCCTGAGCTTATTTTCTTGCAACTAGACAGTCCTACCTGAGGATGATGAGACAGTGACAGATCATTAGGCATTAGATTCTCCTAAGGAGCACACAACCTAGATCCCTGACATGCACAGTTCACAATAGGGTTCATGCTCCTAAGAGAACCTAATGCCATCTGACAGGTGGCAGAGTTCAGGCAGTAATGAGAGCCATGGGGAGGGGCTATAAATACAGATGAAACTTTGCTCGCCTGCCACTCACCTCCTGCTGTGTGGCCTGTCCTAGATTATTCCAGACAATAAGATTCTGCCTACTTTTAACAGACCTTTTAAGAAGAATACCTTAATCTTTCTAAGTCATTATTCCAGATTTCAATAATGCCCACATAGAGTTATTCTTAAATTCAATATTAGTTTAACTTCCTTGGTATTCAGGGTATTTTTCTTTTAGTTTGTTCTACTGTAGAAATGAAAAAAAAATGGCTAAGCAAGTTCTTTAATCTATAAATTAACCTGAATACTTTTTATGTAGGAATGACAAATAGATATTATGACTATGGGCTACCTGGAGAAGCATGGTGAGAAGTCAGATCTAATGGGAAAGAAAGCTGTGATCAATTAGTGAAGTCTGCTTGCCCCAGGTTCTAGAGAGGAGAGTGGTCACACGGTTGGCTGTGTTTGCCATCTCTGATTTTTGTAATTCTTCACCTTAAAAACAAAAGTTTTATCTACTTACAGGGTTAAAAATTATCCCCCAGTGAATCAGCAAAGAGAGTGTGATTAGCATGTTTTTGATGCAAAAGAACACTGAAAACCACTCAGCACTCTGCTTGGATTTGCTGAGGTGCTACCTCAGGTGTTAACAAAAATGAGATGTGTGAGAGGAAAAATCATTATACCCACCAGCAGCACTTCCTTCCACTCTGATCTCATTGTCTGAAGTGTAATCAATGACACCAGATGTGTTTTTGTGGCATCGTGGCAGCTGACAGCTAACGATGAGCAAGTTAGTCTGATTTGCAGTAACTTTTCCTATTTATTTTGTTCCATTAATATACATGGACCAGACTGAATTGTCTTCCAGAAGATTCTATTTTGCCTGTCTCCATACTACCTTTTTTATTACAAGCAATTTATAATAAACAAAATTAAAATAGTATTGTTTAAATGCCCACCACTCACATTCAACAATTATTAGAATTTTGCCATATTTGCTTCATCTATCCCTCTCCTTTTTCTATGCAAGTATTTCAAAGCAAGTCTCAGATTTCATGCTATCTCTCCCTTGGTACTGAATACACAGATATTTTCTTACATAGCCACACTGCCAGCAACATACCTAACAAAAGTAACAACTCTTCGGTATCATTGAATACTTAGACAATTTTTATACTTTCCTGTTTAATAAATATATTTTTTATGGTTAATTCACTAGAATCAGAATCTGAACAAGGTCCTCACGTTGCATTTGAAGGTTATGTCTTTTGAGTCTGTTAAAATCTACAATAGTATCTCCCAGCTCTACCCCACCCTTTTTTTCATGTCATTGCTTTGTTGATTAAACTAGCTCAATAGTTCAATAAAATATTCCATATTCTGGATTTATCCATTTATTGATAAGTGTCACTTAAACTTGAGTCTGTATCCCCTATATTTCACATAAACTAGAAATTAGTCCCAAAGGCCTTATTAGATTTGGATTCTTTTTCTTTTTTGTTTTTCCTCCCATAAAGGGGGTATCTCAAGAGGTACATAACTGTCTGGCTGTCCCATTTGAAGCATAGTTAACATTGATCAGTGGTTCCAGGGGTGTGGATCTCTCTATTGTAAAGTTCTCCCAAGCATTGCTTTTTTGAGACTGAGTCTCACGCTGTCGCCCAGGCTGGAGTGCAGTGGCACGATCTCAGCTTACCACGACATCCGCCTCCCAGGCTCAAGCAATTCTCCTGCCTCAGCCTCCTGAGTAGCATCACCATACTGGCTAACTTTTGTATTTTTTAGTAGAAATGGGGTTTCAGCATATTGGACAGGCTGGTCTCAAACTCCTGACCTCGTGATTTGCCCACCTTGGCCTCCCAAAGTGCTGGGATTACAAGCGTGAGCCACAGCACCTAGCCTTCAGAAGCTTTTTCTCTAATGCTTTCATCCCTTATTAATTTTTGCAAAGTGATGACCCCCCCAAAAAAAATTCTATAATTCCTATCACATTTTTTTAGCTAGAATATGTCTGTAAAGAACTTTTCCTCATCAGTTAGTTCTATTTGGTCACCTGGAAATGTAGATTATATTGGGAAGGCAGGATAATACTGTTGCAGGATTTTGCTCCTTAATTCAGCTAATACCAGGTTCTAGTCACAAGTCAGGAAAATTCAGACATGTGGACACACTGAAGGGTGAGTAGAGCAGAATTTCACTGGGCAAAAAGGGGAAGAAAGAAAAAACTCAACAAAGTGAGATGGAGTCCTACTAACAGGCCTCTCACCTCAGGGAGTGAATCCCAGGCCACCACACAGGAACTGGAGGCCAGGTTCCTCCCCCTGCCAGGGGCTTCACCCCATTTCCCCAGTGCATATGTGGGCATGCTCAGACAAAGCCCTGGGCAGGTATGCCTAGGCATTTGGCTACCTCATTTCCCCCTCTAAAGAAGTACACCTAACTGTTCTAAAGATAAGGATAGGGATGAAGACCACTCTTTTTTTTTTTTTTTTTTTTTTAAGATGGGGTTTCACCATGATGGCCAGGTTGGTCTTGAACTCCTGACCTCAGGTGATCCACCCACCTCGGCCTCCCAAAGTGCTAGGATTACAGGCGTGAGCCACCACGCCCGGCCTGAAGACCACTCTTTTTTTTTTTTTTTTTGAGACGGAGTTTCGCTCTTGTTACCCAGGCTGGAGTGCAATGGCGCGATATCGGCTCACCGCAACCTCTGCCTCCTGGGTTCAGGCAATTCTCCTGCCTCAGCCTCCTGAGTAGCCGGGATTACAGGCACATGCCACCATGCCCAGCTACTTTTTTGTATTTTTAGTAGAGACGGGGTTTCACCATGTTGACCAGGATGGTCTCAATCTCTCGACCTTGTGATCCACCCGCCTCAGCCTCCCAAAGTGCTGGGATTACAGGCGTGAGCCACCGCGCCCGGCTTGAAGACCACTCTTAACTGCTTCCTGCTGATAGAGGAACTCTGTCAAATCTCCCTCAGAGGTCTATCTAAGGGTCCCCAGTAAAAAGGGCCATTGTCCAAGGCTCTGGTTACATGACCATTTGAAGTATGATTGCCTGAAGGGGAGATGAGACAAACTGGGTTATTAGAAAACATGTATCAAAATGAAAAAAGGTTGGGGTAAGGACAGCTAAAAAATCCTGAGACCTTTTACCGGTTTGCACAGGGAAAGGGAGACCAAAACCCCTAGCTGGTGAAACAAAAACTTTTACCCTTTTACCAGCATGCCAGGCTCTGGCTTCCCTTCCCCTAAGCCCAATCCTAAGCCAACCAGTTTAAGGTTTGGGAAATTAACTTTTCCCAGTTTGAAGGATGCATCTGAGAGGAGTGTCCCATACTATGGAGACACAATTACCTGTCAGTGAAGAGAGGACAGAGAAGGAAAAAGGAAAAAAGAAGGCATTTTTTCAAAGGAGTCCCAGGGGGTCAGGATGCATTTGAAAGGGGTATAGAAAGATGAATGGCTACTCATCTAGAAAAAGGGGAGCAGGCATCCCTGGTTCCTTTCTCTTCCTAGGAAATATTGGGGGTTTGTAAGGGAGAGAAAGTGAGGTGTTGTGCTTTCTCCTATCCTTATATCCCTATGTCCTGGCGACAGTGACAGGGTGCCACCCATGGGTGTCGAAGTGGCTTTCACCTATGTTAACAGGGAGGCCCCGGGAGTGGGAGTATCTATCTTACCCATATATGCCCTATGTCCCCTGCTGTCCGTAGCCTTGAATTCCCTATACCTCATTTATGCCATGGATACTAGCATGACCTTTACGGATCTTTATGAGAACGTTGGCTTAACTAGAAGGAAGTAGGCATGCTGTGCCTTTTAACTTCTGTTATTGTCTGCCTCCGGATCCCTCAGATTCAGTTTTCTTTCCTACGGCTTTGACTCAAAGCTTAGAATTGAGTTTGGGTCAAAAATGTGCCTCAGGGTGAGGGCAGGTGCATGCACTCCTTATCATAAACCGAATGTGAAGGTGCAGCTGGGGAATTGAGTCTTCCTCGGAGGGAAAGAAAAGGATGTCTTGTGACACACCCAGATATCTGGTGGCTATAGTTATGCTTGCCAAGATTCTATAGTTACGCTTGCCAAGATTCGGGTGCATGGGGCTTGGCTTGGTTAGCTCCCTTGCTTGGTATTACTTTCCCAAAAAGGAAATGTCCAGGGCATCCTATTTATTCCCATCACCTGGCAGAATCTGCAGGCTAATAGCTCAGACCAGAATATGGATCCGGATTTTTACGTTACCCATCCCTTTTGTTCTTTCTGGGCTGCAGCCAGAGATTGCTGGTTGGGTCACAGGAACAAGCAGGGTTAGCCTAAAATATAGGCAAAACCTTAAAAACACCTAATAAGGCTAGAATTTAATGATGATATTTGAAACATCATTTTACTCTCTCTTGTCCTCATTTTCTTTCTTTCTTTTTTTAATACGGAACGCTTCAGAATTTGCGTATCATCCTTGTGCAGGGGCCATGCTAATCTTCTCTGTATCGTTCCAATATTAGTATATGCGCTGCCGAAGCAAACACCTAGTCCTCATTTCCATTAAAAACAAATAATGACAGGACTGCATTGTTTGTAAAACAAACTTTAGTCTTATTCTTGGCCTAATTATTTGCATAAAATATAGCAAGAATAATTATTTCTACATCTGACTTTTAGATTACTCTGTTTCACCAGGAATCTCAGATGAGACCTTTTAAAGCCAAGCCCAGCCATGGGTTTGTATCCTCAAGTATCTGCAAGTTGAGTAAACTCCTCTTTCCTTCAGGTCCCAGGAGCATGTGGTTCCTGGGCCTGTTGGAAAGTGACATTCTTTACTCACCACAGGTTGGGAATCCTATATGGGGACTGTATAGACAAGGGTGTGAGACCAGTTTTCCCAAGGGGCTTTTCTCAGTTCTGCAAGTTGAGCTTGACTCCTTAAATGGAAGCATATCCTTCCGGTCAAAGCCTTGGTAAGACAACCAGTTTCTCCAATTGCATCCTGTTGCAAAAGAAAACAGATTTTTATTGCACTGATATAAACAACTATATTGCCATAAGGATACTCACAGATGGTTTCCAAATTCTAGAGGAACCAGGCAAACAGAAACAAACATGCCCCAAATTTCGTCCATAGGAGTATACCTTTCTCAAGTATTAAAGTCCATAACTAGCTCAAAATAAGTTTCCTTGAGTCTGAAAACAAAACAAGGATTAGCAACGTTCCAAGCAAAAGTCAAAAAGATTACTTCAGTTTTCTATTAGTTCAGTCCATTCAGTTAGCTCCTGCTGTGCTTGACATTCATAAACATTTCACCTCTTCGTGAGTCTTGACTGCTTTTCCTTTATTCCAGTGTCACAATCTCCGAGGTTATGAGAAACCTGTATTTGAGAGCACCTGTCAGAGTCCTATAGCTTATTATAGACCATCCTTTGAAAAGGACCGAAACAAGACAATAATTGTCTGTGAATAACAAAATATCCAAGGTAGTTACAGTCAGAAATGCAATTGACAAAGAAGTTTGGTTATCTCTGTGGCTTACAATAACGTAACAACCTTGATTATGACTGACAGCATATATTTTAGACATTAGAATTTTAGAAATATCATACAATTTTGGAACATACATTAGTATTATCCACCAAAATATAATCCAAAGAAGACTGAACACCATTTTGGCAATCCCATGTAACTAAACATGTAAAATAATCCTGCTTACCTCTCTTTTGGATACTCCAGGGGCCTTCTGTAGCATCCAAAAACCAGGCATCAGGAAAGACAGTTTTGAAACTGAAGTTTGATTTCTGTTAAATATGGTAGCATCTGTTAAATATGTTGATGTTATGAAATAGAATTGCAGATTACAAGTTATTTTGCCAAAATTATGACTCAGAAATTGAAGAAAGCAAAAACTTTTATAACCCTTTACACATTTTGCTAAAGAGCAGATTAGTGCCTTAAGACTACCTTGTTGTCCTTTTATTTCAATGCTTAATCTACAAAAAAAAAAAAAAAAATCCAACCATATAATGCCCTTTTGAACTTTGTCAGTATGTTCACACACAGAATTTTTGCAAGATTAAATTTTACAATTCTTCCATCATTTGTTTAAACCTTCAGCTTTATCTTCTCTAATTCAAAAGAATCCTTCAACCCTAGGCAAAATTTTACATTTCCATGACTTCTTATAATATTTTACTAAAAACACATCTTACTGTTCTTACATGCCTTGCACATAAATCTATTTCCAGTTTAAATTACATGTTACAATGGTAACTTATAGCAATTTTTAACTTTAATGTAAAACCTGGTAAGTTGTTTTAATTATGTGCTACATGCAGCCAAGGTTTGACTCCTTCCAGCATAGTTAAGGGCACAGTCAACTCCATATGTCCACAGGCCTTACCAACTGTGAAGCAGGCAAGTCAAACAGTTCTCAAAAACCAAAAAGGCAGTTTATAACCTTTAAACATTTAGCAAACCTAGTATTTGAACTGCATAATTTAGTTCACCAATTTACATTTTGACAGCATCTGCATTTCACCAATAATCTCTAAGGCTGTTTTTGTTTCTCAAAGATTAAAGTCACATGAATGAAAAAGTACCACAGCTTTTATCTTCCCTTTAAAAAATAATTGATCCAAGTGCTTATCTTCCTTTAGGCCAGCCGATTAATTAGGACTCTTTTTATAGATATCACACATACAACATATATACAATTACACAGACAGGCAGAAAAGGATGCAGTGGTTATAAGATTTTTCATTTACCAGTCTCCTAATTGGCTTATTGGCCTCTTACACATGAATTAAGAGTGGCAAGACAAAATAGAGAAAAGAATTCAGTCAACTGAGAAAAAAACACTTTTTCCAGCAAACAAGATCCAAGAAAAGAAAAACAAAAAAGCCTTTTAAATATCCCTATAATTTGGATATCTTTTAATTAAGCTGAGCACTCTTTAAGAAAATCCTTTTAAATACCTTGTTCCCCAACATTAGCCACTCGAAGTGGCCAATACTTCTGGCTTTCAAACTTTACTAAAGGTGACCTCAGAGAAAGGAAAATACAAGGTGGTTCATGGAGGGGAAGAGGAACAACAAACAGCAAAAGGTTTTGCAGATACCGAACCAGAAAGGACTCAATCCCTAAGCCAGGATTGAACCCAGCTGCCACTATAAAATGGCAGAGGCTAAACAAAGCATTGCTGTGTTACAGGTCATGCTTTCAAGAATGTAAAACAAGATGGAGGTCTGCAGCAAAGTTTGCTGCTGACTATACAGAAAGTCATGCAAAGCACACTAGACAGCCTAGACCAACAGCCTAGACACACTAGACCAACCTTACAAATCCTTTTTCCTTTATCAAACCGTTTTTGTTTTTGTTTTTTTTTTTGAGACAGTCTCACTTTGTTACCCAGGCTGGAGAGGAGTGGTGATCTCAGCTCACAGCAGCCTCTGCCTCTCGGGTTCAAGGGATCATCCTGCCTCAGCCTCATGAGTGGCTGGAATTACAGATGTCCAGCACCATTCCTGGCTAATTTTTGTATTTTTAGTAGAGAGAGTGTTTCACGGTATTGGCCAGGCTGGTCTCCAAATCCTGACCTCAGGTGATTTGCCCACCTCGGACTGCCAAAGTGCTGGGATTGCAGGTGTGAGCCAATGCACCTGTCCCCTTAATCAAAACTTTACAGAGAATATAAACAGTGATGGGATCCTGGCCTAGAAAAAATTATTTCTTAAAGGAAAAAGAGTCTTTTTTTTTTTTTTTTTTTTTTTTGAGACAGAGTTTTGCTCTTCTTACCCAGGCTGGAGTGCAATGGCGCGATCTCGGCTCACCGCAACCTTCGCCTCCTGGGTTCAGGCAATTCTCCTGCCTCAGCCTCCTGAGTAGCTGGGATTACAGGCACGCACCACCATGCCCAGCTAATTTTTTTTGTATTTTGAGTAGAGACGGGGTTTCACCATGTTGACCAGGATGGTCTCGATCTCTTGACCTCGTGATCCACCCGCCTCGGCCTCCCAAAGTGCTGGGATTACAGGCTTGAGCCACCACGCCCGGCCTTGGAAAAAGAGTCTTTAACTTAAAAGCTAATTCCTGACAGGGTGGAGAAAAGGAAAAAAAAAAATTAAAAGTGCAGGGTTGGAAAGATGCCTGGGGAAATAACTTCTTTTTTTTTTTTTTTTTTGAGACCGAGTTTCGCTCTTGTTACCCAGGCTGGAGTGCAATGGCACGATCTCGGCTCACCGCAACCTCCGCCTCCTGGGTTCAGGCAATTCTCCCGCCTCAGCCTCCTGAGTAGCTGGGATTACAGGCACGCGCCACCATGCCCAGCTAATTTTTTGTATTTTTAGTAGAGACGGGGTTTCACCTTGTTGACCAAGATGGTCTCCATCTCTTGACCTTGTGATCCACCCACCTCGGCCTCCCAAAGTGCTGGGATTACAGGCTTGAGCCACCGCGCCCGGCGGAAAGAACTTCTTAAACAAATGGGTTCCTCCAACAGGGAGAGAAACTTAATTGCTGTGCCCTATTGGGCACCCTTGGGCCAGAGGCCATGTGCCCCAGCCCTGGCCAGGAAGGAAGAGGGAAAGCCGCCATTTGCCCATTCACCCTGAAAAGAGCAGGCAGAGGCTGACATTCCCAAACCCCAGGAGCGACTGTGGGGAAAGGAGGCATAATTTCCTCTACCCTCAGAAGTACAAGGACAAAAAAAGCCTAGAAGTGAAGGGGAAAAATATTTTTTGGCTTGCATCTTACACTTCCTCAAGCCCATGTCTGGGCACCAAAATATTGCGGAATTTTGCTCCTTAGTTCAGCTAAAACCAGGTTCTTGTCATAAGCCAGGAAAATGTAGGCACACAGGCACATTGAAGGGTGAGTACAAAGGATTTTATCGGACAAAAAGGGGAAAAAAGCAAAACACACACACAGACACACACACACACTCTCCGCAAATGAGAAAGAGTCCTGCTAACAGGCCCCCCCACCTCACAGACTAAATATCCCACCACAGAGAAACTGAAAAGGCCAGGCTCCTCCGCCTCCCTCCGCCTCCCTCCGGCTCCACCCTGTTCCCCTCGTCCACCGTGAGCATGGCCAGATGAGGCCCTGGGTAGGTTCCCTCATCTGCACAAAAGTATCTGATGTAGACACTTGTGGGGCGGTTGAGAGATTCGCCAGTGACTCCCTTTTTTGCCCAGGCATTTGGCTGTCTCAGGACTTAGTTATTTCCCTCTAATTGCCAATTTTCAAAGTAAGGATTAGATACAGCCCATGGTATCCAATAAGTTTGTTTATCTATTTATTTGTTTTGGCACTCTTTCCCCTCATGCACACATTGGGTTTTTACGTATTCTATGTATTTCAACTGCATTCGGTCACTACTTTTTCAGAAACTTAAATTATTCCATCTTTCGCCAGCTGGAGCCCCTTCCTGTTGGTTCATGGGTTATTTTTAAACAACCCACTGATCTTTGGTAACTTTACAGCTTTTAGCTCAGCAAGATAGTTTAGCCTCATCTTGTACATGTACCACCCTAGCTTTGGAATCAGCCATCCAAGAAGTTCTGATTCCTTTTCGTGGGAAATGTCATTTAGGGACCACAATCTGGGCACCATAAGTTGCTCATTGCTCATGGGTTTTTCATACTTCCAGGCCTTTCTGAAAAGTACAAAAATAGGATATATGTACTTTAAAATGGAGGAAAAAAACTTTGATGTTTACACTGATATTTCTAATTCAAATTTATATTGATTTATTTATATTAATGTCTTTGATTTTATATCTCTCTTCTCTTAAAAATCTTGGTTCCTAACAATATTAACATAATTACAATATAATTATTACTTTATCTTAAACTATATAGAAAATAGCTTAAAAATACTAATGTAAAGACTACCATACCCAGCGTAAGTCATCCATTCTGATGGATATCTATTATTATCTCTTGGAACCTGGCACCTTTTGAACACCCTTTTGATGTTTGGAGAATTTCCTGTTTCGAGCCCCACCAAATTAGAAGGCAGAATACTTACTCCTCCTCTCCTTCATTTGCAGCTAGGACACAGGGACGTGATTGGTGCTCCTCCGATCACATGCACTTGTGAGAAGTTGGTGAAAGGGGCAATGTAAGAGTTAGTTTCTGACACAGAAGTGACATTGATGCCTTCAACAGCAGCAGTTACAGTCATACTGAGCTCCTTGCAGGATAGTCGCTGAGTGGTAATGGGCAGTGGCCGCAGATTTCTCATCAGGCCAATGTGCTACATAATTGGGGGTGATTTTCTTGGAGGCTTAACCTCACGATTGTTTCTTCGAGCCTTCTCAACAATTCTGAGTCAACCAATGGTCTTTTAATAAACCCTTTTTCTGCTTCATCTGTCACCATCAGCTTCTGTCACTTGCAGCCAGGAAACAGCTGACACAGCAGACCCTGGAGGTCAGAAGGGGATAATTTTAGGCATCACAGAGGCCTGATCATCCTCTTTCTCTCCCACCCTTCACTGTAAGAGTGCTTGTGAGTTCTGGGATAGAAGGAACTGTGGCATACTGAAAAGAACTGGGTCATTAGGGCCCCAGCAGCTCCTCCGCAGGAAAACCCTTTGAGAACAATCAGTCGTAAGAAGCAGAGGGTGCTTCCTTGATTTCTGGAGGGGAAGAGGGTCAGCTGTTGGTAGCTGAGATGAGGTCAGCAGAGACCCAGCAGAGCTTCTGGGATCCAAAGAGCAGAAGGATGTGAGATCAACAGACTAAGCATCAGACTAAATCCCTATCCCCATCCCAAAGGCTCTTTGAAGGAATAATTGGAGCAGGAAGTCCTGAGGAAAAAATAAAACTTGCAAATAATAAAAAAAAAGGTGGGTCTAAAGAACCAGCATTGTGATCATCCTTTTTTTTTTTTTTTTTGATACAGAGTTCCACTTTCATCACCCAGACTGGAGTACAATGGCATGATCTCAGCTCACTGCAACCTCTACCTCCCGGGTTCAAGCAATTCTTGTGCTTCAGCCTCCCGAGTAGCTGGGAGTACAAACGTGCGCCACCAAAACCTGGCTAATTTTGCATTTTTAGTAGAGATGGGCTTTCACCACATTGGCCAGGCTGATCTCAAATTCCTGTCCTCAGGTGATCTGCTTGCCTCAGCCTCCCAAAGTGCTGGGATGACAGACAGGCATGAACCACCATGCCAGGCCTGACTTGGGGTAATCTTGCAAGTGGATCCTTCTGGACCCAGTGGCAGGCTAGACCAGGTCACATGTACTAAGGTTGCTAACCTGTCATTCATAGCAAATATTTTCCTTCGGATTGTCATTTGTCCCTTCATCTTGTATTTGTTGACATAGATATTTTAACTTTATTTTTAGTCAATTCTACTGATATTATTCTTTGTGATAGCTTCTATTTCTTTTATGTTTAGACGGTTTCTTCCTTTTCCAAAATTATGTTCAATTTCTCTTATGTTTTCTTTCCATTTTAAAGATGGTTTTTATTTATTTATTATTATTATTATTATTATTTTTGAGATGGAGTTTTGCTCTTGTTACCCAGGCTGGAGTGCAATGGCGCGATCTCGGCTCACCACAACCTCCGCCTCCTGGGTTCAGGCAATTCTCCTGCCTCAGCCTCCTGAGTAGCTGGGATTACAGGCACGCGCCACCATGCCCAGCTAATGTTTTGTATTTTTAGTAGAGATGGGGTTTCACCACGTTGACCAGGATGGTCTCGATCTCTTGACCTCGTGATCCACCCGCCTCAGCCTCCCAAAGTGCTGGGATTACAGGCTTGAGCCACCGCGCCTGGCATTTATTATTATTATTATTTTGAGATGGAGTCTCGCTCTGTCACCCAGGCTGGAGTGCAGTGGCGCAATCTCAGCTCACTGCAACCTCTGCCCCTGGGGTTCAAACGATTCTCCTGCCTTAGCCTCCTGAACAGCTGGGAATACCGGCACATGCCACCACACCTGGCTAATTTTTGTATTTTTAGTAGAGACGGGGTTTCACCATGTTGGTCAGACTGGGCTCAAACTCCTGACCACGTGATCTACCTGCCTTGGCCTCCCAAAGTGCTGGGATTACAGGTGTGAGCCACCGTGCCTGGCCTTTTATTTATTTTTTTTTTTTTTGAAATGGAGTCTCTCTTTTCCCCAGGCTGGAGTGCAGTGGCATGATCTTGGCTCATTGCACCTCCATCTCCTGGGTTCAAGCAAGTCTCCTGCCTCAGCCTCCCGAGTAGCTGGGACTACAGGTGCTCACCACCACCGCCAGCTAATTTTTGTATTTTAGTAGAGACGGGGTTTCACTATGTTGGCCAGGCTGGTCTTGAACTCCTAAACTCATGATTCACCTGCCTCAGCCTCCCAAAGTGCTAGGATTACAGGCATGAGCTGAACGTGGTAACGTTCATCTGCTAAAAATGGTTTTATTTTTTACATTTAATCATTTACTCCATCCATAATTCATTTTCTTTTGTTAGATGTAAGAATTGTGAATATGTTTTTAAAATAGGTTCTTCAGCTGGGCACAGTGGCTCATGCCTGTAATCCTAGTACTTTGGGAGGCCGAGGAGGGTGAATCACCTGAGGTTAGGAGTTCAATAGCAGCCTGGCCAACATGGTGAAACCCCATCTCTACTGAAGATATAAAAATTAGCCAAGCATAGCAGCACACACCTGTAATCCCAGCTACTCAGGAGGCTGAGGCAGAAGAATGGCTTGAACCCAGGAGGCAGAGGTTGCAGTGAGCTGAGTTTGTACCATTGCACTCCAGCCTGGTGTCAGAGATAGACTCCATCTCAAAAATAAATAGGCCAGGCGCAGTGGCTCATGCCTGCAATCCCAGCATTTCGGGAAGCTGAGGCGAGCAGATCACCTGAGGTCAGGAGTTTGAGACCAGCCTGGGTAACATGGTGAAATCCCGTTTCTACTAAAAATACAAAAATTAGCCAGGTGTGGTGGTGCACACCTGTAATCCCAGCTACTCAGGAGGCTGAGGCAGGAGAATCACTTCAACCTGGGAGGCAGAGGTTGCAGTGAGCTGAGATCGCACCATTGCACTCCAGCTTGGGAAACAAGAGCGAAACTCCGTCTGAATAAATAAATAAACATGTTCTTCATATACAAAAATTAGCTCAGGAAGGATTAAGGACTTAAAAAAGTAAAACCTAAAACTGAAAATCCTAGATGAAAACCTAAGAAATACCCATCTGGACTCAGCCTTGACAAAGAATTGATGACTAAGTTATTGAAAACAACTGCAATACAAACAAAAATTGGCAAATGGGACTTAAACTAAAGAGCTTCTGCACAGCAAAGGAAACTATCAACAGAGTGGACAACCTACAAAACAGGAGAAAATACTTGCAAAGTATGCATCTGACAAAGGCCTAATATCCAGAATCTATCAGGAACTTAAATCAACAAGCAAAAAACAAAGAACCCCATTAAAAAGTGGGCGAAAGACACTTTTCTTCTCAAAAGAAGACATATAAGCAACCAACAAACACATGAAAAAATGCTCAACATCACTAATCATCAGAGAAATGCTGATTAAATCCACAATGAGGTACCATCTCACACTAGTCAGAATGGCTATTACCAAAAAGTCAAAAAACAAAAGATGTTATTGAGGCTGCAGAGAAAAGGAAATGCTTGTACACTGTGTTGGTAGGAATGTAAATTCATTCGGCCACTGTGGAAAGCAATTTGAAGACTTCTCAAAGAACTAAAAATAGAACTCTCATTTGACCCAGAAATCCCATCACTGGGCATATACCCAAAGGAAAATAAATCATTCTACCAAAAAAACACATGCACTCATATGTTCATCACAGGGCTGTGGCTGTGCACAATAGCAAAGAAATGGAATCAACCTAGGTGCCCAGCAATGGTGGACTGAATAAAGAAAATGCCATACATACACACTATGGAATATACAAGGCCATAAAAAATTACAAAATTATGTTCTCTGCAGCAACATGCATGCAGCTGGAGGCCATTATCCTAAGCAAATTAATGCAGAACAGAAAGTCAAATGCGTGTTCTCACTTACAAGTGGGAGTGAAACATTGGGTATATACGGACATAAAGATGGGAACACACTGCAGGCTGCTAGACAGGTGAGAGAGACAAAGGCGCAAGGGTAGAAAAACCATCTGTATGGTACTATGCTCACTACCTGGGTGATGGGGTCAATTATACCCCAAACCTCAGCATCATGCAGTATATCCATTGCGCAAACATGCACGTGTACCCCCGAATCTAAAATAATAGTTGAAAGTTTTTTTTAAAAAGGTACTTATCCTTAAGAGATGCATACTAAAATATATAATATCTGAAATTTATGTCAAAATAATGCAATGGTCAAGGAGAGGGAAGGATATAAATAAAACAATTTTTGGTTGGGACTTGTTAATTATTGAAGCTGGATGATGGGCACATGAGGGTTTATCATTCTATTCTTTCTACTTTTAAAATATGCATTATTGTAGAATTTTTCCATAATAAAATGTTTTTCAAAATGAGAATTTAAAAAATATAATGACAGTGAAGTTGCAATGGGAACTGTACATTTTTCCAATCGGGTGAAGTCCCAGTTTTTCAGAGTGTTGTGTTTGGACCAGATCACAGTCTTGTATAATCTGGCTGCACCTTGCCAGTGTCAGAGAACATCAACAACAGCAAATTTTTACTGAGATCCTGCTGTGTGTCAAGTCCAATCAGACAGAAGCGTTCTTTTATACCAATAGAGAGGCAGACAGAGATGTTCAATATACTGGTAATAAAAATAGGAGAATGAAATCATTGCTTCCACAGAAAGGCCCCAATGAGTCTTCCAAAATAAACACATATTATTTGTGTGATTTTTCAACTATACCTTTATCAAGAAAAGAATAAAACATAATCAGACCATGGTGTATTGCTGTTTAAAATGATCCACTAATGTTCTAATTGTCATCAGGACAAAGGCCCTTAGACATGCCTGCGTCACATCTGGACTTTTTCTCCTTCTCCAGCTCCGTCTCCTGCCCATCCCCATGTACTTTAAATTCAGCTACAGGAAGGGACTTACAGTTCCCAGAACACGGCCCCTGGAGTTTGCACTCCGCCAGAGAAGTTTCATTCATTTCATCTGCATTCATCGATCTCCTAGCATGACTCATGTCACCTGCATGCCATGCTTGCTCTCTTCCCTACCTGGATCGCCCTTCTCCCTCAGTTTCATTCTTCAAGTTTCATCTTTCTTGTCATCTTCTTTGAGAAACTTTCTTTGAACCCAAGCTGAGCAAGCTTGCCCTCTTCTGTATTCTCTGTGTAGGGGAGGATTGGAGGAAAGAAGGGCACACATCTTATTTCTCCCACTAAATTCTGAGGTTAGGGCTAAAATCCTGTTTATTCACAGTATGTGGCTCAAGGCCTGAGTCATAGTAGAAGATCAGTGAGTGAGTGTTAAATGAATGAATGAATGAATGAATGAAGCTTCCTCACTAGAATGTAAACCCACAGGGCAAGAATTTTTGTTGTTTTGTTTTGCTTTCTCTTCAGCACACGGGATAGTACGTGACACACAAATATTTGTCAAAATAATTAAAATTACCTGTCAAAGAAAAAGCAACAAGTCTATGTTAAGGTTCATATCCAAACTAACCATTTGCTGGTTGTCAGCCTATCTATGGATTAGTAGAAGACTTTGACCTTGAGCTTAAAAACAAATTAAAGACAAAAAGTGCTTTGAATATTGAATACAATGAAATGTTTTTCAAACTTTACTGAGTTATAACTTGGATTTTAAAGTGTGAAATATGCCGGGCACTATAGCTCACTTCTGTAATCCCAACACGTTGGGAGGTCAAAGCAGGCAGGTTGCTTTAGCCTAGGAGATTGGGACCAGCCTGAGTAACATGGCGAAATCCAAAGTCTACCCCCTCTCCCCAAAAAAATGCTGGGTGGCATGCACCTGTAGTCCCAGCTACTAGGAGGCTGAGGCTGGAGGATCACTTGAGCCTTGGAGGCAAATCACACCACTGCACTCCAGCCTGGATGACAGCCTGTATCAAACAAAAAAAAAAAAAAAAAAAAAGGTCGGGGGAAAAGCATGAAATTAAAACTTATCTCTAAGTCCAAGAATGATTGGGACTTTTTTTTTTTTTTTTTTTTTTGAGACAGGGTCTCACCCTTGTAGCCCAGGCTGGAGTACAGTGACAGGATCTCAGCTCACTGCAACTTCCACCTCCTAGGTTCAAGCCATTCTTCTGCTGTAGCCTCTGGAGTAGCTGGGACTACAGGCATCACCACCACGCCCAGATAATTGTCGTATTTTTCATAGAGACATAGTTTCACCATGTTGGCTAGGCTGGTCTAGAACTCCTGACCTTGTGATCTGCCTGCCTAAACCTCCCAAAGTACTGGGATTACAGGCATGAGCCACCATACCCGGCCAAGGAGCAGGCCATTTTCTATGTGGCCGTATTATTGACCCAAAGGAAAAAAAAAAAAAGAAATACATGCAGCCAGGGAGCAACTCATGATTTCCCACATCAGGAACAACCAGGACGCAAGGAAAGCCTTACATCATGAATGACATCACTTTAGTGACCTAATTTCTACAGGACAATGGAAAAATTTCTTCTTGCACAAACCTTGCAGCAGCTTGGACCAGCAACTTCATAGTGGGATGATGGGAGGGGTCCATGGACAAAGGACAATTGTTGGCCTTTCCTTGACAGCAGGGTGGTTTACAAAGTGGTCTTTCTCAGGAGTCTGCCTGGAATGAATTGTACAGCACATGACAGGTGTTCTTACATAAGTAAGGCAGAAGTGGATTCAATTGGGTTTCTTTTCTTTTTGAAACCATCTTTCTCTGGAACTGTCCTCTCTAAAAGTGACTAGAACAACAGGAGGGGAAAGTGAGATCTTGAACTACCCAGGGAATCAGGGTGGCATTTCCTTCCCCTTTCTTTCCTCGTCTACCTTTGCATGCTTGTCATCCGCTGGGACCTCTTTGGAGAGGAGGTTTTATTCCCCTGCTTTCTTTCAGAATCCTGCCTCACATAATCTTTACTAGCTCTTCCTAAAGAAAACTAGGACTCCCATTTATTTTATTCAGCCCACCACTACATCCAGCCTTGAAAACATTGCAACCTTTGCCTCCTGAGTTCAAGTGATTCTCCTGCCTCAGCCTCCCAAGTAGCTGAGATTATAGGCACACACCAACATACCTGGCTGATTTTTATATTTTTAGTAGAGACGGGGTTTCACCATGCTGGCCAGGCTGGTCTTGAACTCCTGACCTCAGGTGATCTGCCCACCTCAGCCTCCCAAAGTGTTGGGATTACAGGCGTGAGCCACCACGCCCAGCCTGTCTGTTCTTATTTACTCCACATTCACTGTAGCTTCTGTCCTGGGCCAAGTTCTGATGATAAACAGAGGGGAAGGCCCAGGTCCTGTCCTCCAGGGGTCACAATCACCTATCCTGATGTAACAGAGAAATGTCTAGAAGGCTCTTGGAGTACAGGAAAGACACTCCCCGACTACAGAATCAGGGACAGCATCTCAAAGGAGAAGATGTTTAGCAGAATTTTGAAAGACAAGCAGAAAGTAAGGGGAGGGCATTGCAAGAAAAGAGAAATCCCATACAAAGGCAAGGAGATGGGAAAGAGTAGGCCCTTTCAGAGGACTGCACATGGTACTGAATCACTGGAGAGCAACGTTTATAGGGAGGAGTCGTCGTGCTGGAGCAGTGACGGGGTAGGCCATGAGGAGCCAGGCCAAAGAGTTAGGATGTCCCTGAAGGACGAACAGCATAAGAATGGCAGAGTCTGATTCATCTTGTGTATCTTTTTCCCAAGTACATTTTCTTCCTCTTTTTTCTTATTGAAGTGAAATTTACATAACATAAAATTAACTTTTTTAAGCTGAATACAGTGGCATTGAGTACATTCATAATGTTGTAAAACAACCCCCTCTATCCAGTTCTAAAACATTTTCACCATCCTAAAAGGAAATTTTTTTTTTCTTTTTTTTCTTTTTTGAGACGGAGTTTCGCTCTTGTTACCCAGGCTCTTGTTACCGAGTGCAATGGCGCGATCTCGGCTCACTGCAACCTCTGCCTCCCAAGTTCAGGCAATTCTCCTGCCTCAGCCTCCTGAGTAGCTGGGATTACAGGCACGCGCCACCATGCTCAGCTACTTTTTTGTATTTTTAGTAGAGACGGGGTTTCACTATGTTGACCAGGATGGTCTCGATCTCTCGACCTCGTGATCTACCCGCCTCGGCCTCCCAAAGTGCTGGGATTACAGGCTTGAGCCACCGCGCCCGGCCCTAAAAGGAAATTCTATACCCATTAAGCAATTACTCCCCATTCCTCTCTCCTCCAAGCCCCTGATAACCACCAGACAGTTTTCTATCCCTGCGGATTGACCTATCCACTCAGTGCTTTCTTCCTTTAAAAATTTATGCAAGTAAAATGGATTTATTGTAAAAGAATCAAGATAGATGAACAGAAAGAGAAAACTAAATATTGCTATCATCTTAGTATCTTGGGTAAATTTTGTATGCTGTGTATCCTGCTAAACAATTTTCTAAGGCTTCTCTCTCTCTGCTCCTCCGTGTGTCACCCAAGCCCCATGTATTTCACAAGGTCCTCCAACCTTCTGGAGTCTCCTCAACCTTTGATATTATAAAATAATTGGCCAGGCGTGGTGGCTCATGCCTGTAATCTCAGCACTTTGGGAGGCCAAGGCAGGCACATCACCTGAGGTCGTAAGTTTGAGACCAGTCTGACCAACATGGAGAAACTCCATCTTTACTAAAAACACATAATTAGCTGGATACAGTGGCGTATACCTGTAATCCCAGCTACTTGGGAGGCTGAGGCAGAATCTCTTGAACCTGAGAGATGGAGGTTGCAGTAAGCCGAAATCAGGCCATTGCACTCCAGCCTAGGCAACAAGAGTGAAACTCCATCTCAGGAAAAAAAAAAAAAAAAAGAGAGAGAGAGAGAGAGAGAGATAAAAGAATCCTGCTCAAACCCCTATCCTATGAATGTCACAAGACCCAAGTCCCTACCAATAGCTCTGAAGGGTCTCATATTGGGCCAAAGGTATGTTTCTTTTCATCAACCTCTACCTCTGATTTTCTGCCTTGATCTCCACCCCTCATTATACTTCCTGGGCACCTTGCCCCTTCTTCTATAATGTATCACCCTGTTGGATACTTCCTCAATGTCTTCTCTCCCCAAAAGATGGCCTAAATATGGTTGTGTGTTTAGCAAACTTTTAGGAAAGATTTGGAGGCTAGAGGGGATAGCTTATATTGAAGCTAGAGAACATCTTGAAACCAAGTATTGGAGAGCAGTTCTTTTAAGAGTCCACCAGTCACTCCTGGCACTGGACAGTTCTCACCGCCCATGCCTCCACCAGCTGCCCACCTTCTCCCCTTCCTCCCCTTTTCATTTTCCAGATTTAATCTCCTCCAGCTGTAAACTCCAAAGCACTCATTTCCAATTCCCATTTCCTTTTATGCAGGGCCATTTGTTCCTCCTTTTGTTTGTTCCAACTGACAGATTCTAAATTATTCTGCTAACTCAAAACAGTCTCTCTCTATCAGAACACTAGTGCCAGCTTGTGAGACTAATATTTTCCCCACCACTGGCTGCATTTCCAGATTGCCTTGTTATTTTAAATGTCCTTCCTTAATTTGTCCAGGAGGTTTTCAGAGTTTGTTGTTGATGTTGTTTTTAACTTTTAAGTTCAGAGCTACATGTGCAGGTTTGTTATACAGTTCGCAGGGCTTTAGCGTACAGATTATTTTGTCACCCAGGTAATAAGCATAGTACCCAATAGGTAGCTTTTGGATCCTCTCCCTCTTCCCTCCCTCCACCCTCAAGTAGGCCCCAGTGTCTGTTACTTGTTTCCTTCTTTGTATCCATGTGGACTTAGTGTTTAGCTCCTGCTCGTAAGTGACAACATGTGGTATTTGGTTTCTTGTCCTGCTTTAATCTGCTTAGGATAATGGCTTCCAGCTCCATCTATGTTGAGTTTTCAAGTTTTTACTGGAAAACCCCCAATAAAAAACTAAGTAAATAGGTGGGGGGGGGGGGTGGCTCATGCCTGTAATCTCAGCACTTTGGGAGGCTGAGGTGGGTGGATCACTTGAGGTCCGGAGTTCAAGACCAGCCTGGCCAACATGGTGAAACCTCGTCTCTACTAAAAATACAAAAATTAGCCGGGAAAGGTGGCATGCACCTGCAATCCCAGCTATTCAGAAAGCTGAGGCAGGAGAACTGCATGAACCCAGGAAGTGGAGACTGCAGTGGGCCAAGACTGCACCACTGCACTCTAGGCTGAGTGACAAAGCAAGACTCCATCTCAAAAAAAAACCGAAAAACAAAACTAAGTAGATAAATATATCCTTCTATAAATTTTTTTTTTGTTCCTAGCCATTCTTTGACTTCCGTTGAAATGCCTATATATTTCTAGTCAATAGTGTATTTTCTTTTTAATTTAATTTTGTTTTTAGGCTAGTCAAGTGAAGCAGTGTGAATGAAAAAGTATTTTCACTTATCGATTTGAAGAAAGTCTTTGAATGTTAAAGAAAATAATCTTTGGTCTGGATGTGGTGGCTCAAGCCTGTAATCTCAACACTTTGGGAGGCTAAAGTGGGAGCATCACTTGAGCCCTGGAGTTTAAGACGAGCTTGGCCAACATAGTGAGACTCTGTCTCTACAAAAAATGAAAAAGTTAGCTGGGCATGGTGGCACATGCCTGTAGTCCAAGCTACTTGGGAGGCTAACGCAGGAGGATCACTTGAACCCAAGAGTTTGAGGCTGCAGTGAGAAGTACTCCTCTGCACTCCAGCCTTAGCAACAGAGTGAAACTCTGTCAAAGAGAAGAGCAACAAAAAGAATCTTTGGTTAAGGATACTTTCCTCCAATGTAATTTGTCTTTCAATTTAGTTTATGATAAATTTTACTACAGAAAAGTTTTATATTTTCATATAACCAGATCTATCATCCTTTATATTTTAAGCCTTTTAGTTTCATCCCTTACCCCCAAAGTTTTATAAATATTCACCTGTATTTTCTTCTACTTACATTATAATTTTTAATCCTTCTGGAATTTATCTTAGTGTACTATGTGAGTTTGGATTTAACTTTGTTTTAATGATTAGACAATTCATCTTCACACTCTCTCCACTGACATGAGGTAGATTTATTATATTCTAAACTCATACCCATTTGGATGTATTTCTGAACTGTCTCTTTTTTAGCTAAAACAGCAATGTTTTAGTTATTATATCTTCCTAGTTCACATTAATATCTGATAGGAAAAGAACTTTTAACTACTGTTCTTCCTACAAGTGTGCTTGACATTCTTCATTTGTTTATTTTCTAAATAAATCTTAAAATAGTTTATTTTTACATTCTAAAAATGTTCCTAGGTATTTTTATTGGGATTTTGTTAAATTTATAGGTTTGGCCAGGCACAGTGGCTCATGCCTATAATCCCAACACTTTGGGAGGCCTAGGTGGGCAGATCACCTGAGGTCAGGAGTTTGAGACCAGCCTGGCCAATATGGTGAAACCCCATCTCTACTAAAAATACAAAAAATTGGCTGAGCATGGTGGTGCACACCTGTGATCTCGACTGGTTTGAGATCAATATTCTTTAACATATAAAATGTTAACGATGATTTTTCTTAAATCAAAAATGTATGTTGAGAGGAGTGACATTAACTATGTGGCAGAGTAGGAAGCTCTAC